CCCCAAATCTCCAGGTATTTCCCTACTCAGAGCTGGGAAGCCTACTTTCCCCTCAGTGCCTGCTTCTGGTCAACCAAGCTTGGTTTCTGTCAGTAAAAGGCCCTTTCCACACCTATTTTTGCCTTTGGGAGAAAACTCACTGTGTCCTTCTACCCTGCTGACAGGCCCCTCACCCCAAGACAGCCAAGGCTTCAGAGCACAGCAGAGGCTGCAGGTGAGGGGGGGAGATGGAAAGCTGAACAGTGAGGGGGAAATGAAGGTACATTGATGCTTGGCTGGGAAGGAGATAGGGTTGCCAACTCCAGGTAGAGTCTGCAGGAGGGGGGGAGATGGAAAGCTGAACAGTGAGGGGGAAATGAAGGTAGATTTATGCTTGGCTGGGAAGGAGATAGGATTGCCAACTCCAGGTAGAAAATTCGGTGAGATTTGAGGGATGGAGCCTGAGTGAGGTTTGAGGAGCGATGGGACCTCAGACAGGTACAGTGCCGTAGACTATGCCCTCCAAACCAGCCATTCCCTCATGGGGAACCACTGTCGCCAATATCCAGGTGGGGGCTGGTGATCACTCAGAATTACAACTGCTCTCCAGATAGCATTGATCCGTTCCCCTGGAGAAAATGGTAGACTCTGTGTCCTTATACCCTGCTGAGGTTGCCATGGCAAATTGATTCTGAGTGCCCATGGCCTTGGCACTCTTCCAGAGCCTCTTTCTAGTGCTCATTGTATTTATATCCACAATGGTCCTTATTCCTAGTACTAATATATTTGGTTCATCAGATATAGTTCTATGGAAAGGAATATTCCTTGATTTACGTGTGCGTTTAGTTCTATGGACTAGTTAACTAGGAATACTTAAATGTTCTTATTCCTCTACAATATATAACAACAAAACAAGACAAATGTGCATTACAAGAGATAATGTATTGACAAAATAAGCCTCTTGCTGATGTTTTCTGACACAGTGCTTTCATTTTTTTAAAAAAATCCCACTTCCCGCCCATTAATGGATCTTTATACACACACACACATAAAGATAGATAGATAGATAGATAGATAGATAGACAGATATAGACAAAGTTCACCTAGAATTAGCAGTCCTGAAAGAAAATAAAAAACCAATGTGGATTATTTATCACAATTTCCCCTATTAATCATATTTATTTCTACCTTTTCTGGAGGTGCTGATGGTTTAAATCTCTTCGAACAAATCAAATATATATCGGGCTCTGGCTTGCCATTCTTCAATTCAGGGTCATCTCCCAACACAATATGATGAAATAATTTAAAGAAATCTTTGTGTCGACTTATTTTTAGTTCAAATGGCTCTCGAGATGAACTGGAGGCAACAGCTATGGGTATACTGTGTCGATGTAGGTGATGGACTAGTTTTTCAACTCCTGTGAAACAAAGATGTATGAACATGTATAATATACTTGACAGAATAAAACTAGAGGAGCATAGTAAATATTGCTGATTTCTGAGAACTTGTTCTACTCTAAACCTCCTCCAAAGGTTAAGTTTATTCTCAAAAGTAGCATG